GCCAATCCAGGGGCAGCCGTGCTTCTGTAAATACGCCCAGGGAGCCGACAGCGTAGAGCCCATGTTCAGGCATCTCAAGAACACTTACACTGGGCTGCAGCTTGTTGTAGTAATTTTGCCAGGAAAAACCCCAGTCTATGGTCAGTAAGTGCAAAACACGAGCGTATGTTTCGCTCACAATTTCATGTATTTTTTGTGAAGCATCTGAATGAGGGAAGTTTTAATTCTGGCTTAACTATATAAATTCCATTTAGGGAATGGGCTATAAATTAATGGTATTATTCTTCTGCTGCGTGATGTTTTATATTAAGACCTTAATTATTTTCATTCTTTTGGTCTAGGCTTTTAACTTGCTTTTTCATATTCTTCCTGTTGGCTGTGTTTGAGATGCAGTTTGAGTCAGAAAGCTGAACCAGGGCTTTTGTGAAATTTATATGCAATGGATTCAAATATCCTTACTATAATTTGTGTGCTAAAAGCTCCAAGTGATTGAAGAAGTAATGGACTCGAGAACCATGTAGCTTGTAGAATGTCTTTGCTTACACACACCATAACTCTTTTTTGCCAAAAAAAGTTGAGTGAAGGACATTTCTGCCAGTCGTATTTTCTTACTCTTTCAGTTTTTAACTCTTGGGCTGCAAGGACACAGGTGCAGGGAAGGTGAAAACTGCAACGTAAACTGATTTTTGGAAACAATCAGTGCATTACACATAGCACACCCACAAACGTTTAATATGTTTGAGATAAACCATGCATTTTGGGTTGAACTAGCTCTGCCTATAGGCGAGAATGCTTGTTTTCCTATCCTGCTTTCCTCCTGCGTTCACTTACCTAACTGCAGCCCCATCCACTGTTTTTCTCCCAGAGCTTCAAGGATGCTCTCTTCTCTAATGGTGCAGATCTGCCAAGCAGCAGCTGCTACCAAACAGCAGAAAATAATTCCCTAACTCTCTTTTCCCGAGATAGTCTCCTACAAGATAAAAAGAGAGATAAAGGAGCTGTAGCAAAACGGTACCTTTTTTCCCCTCCTTGTACTCAGCCTTGCGAAGGAAGTTGCTCGTCACTAACTTGCTCATTAGAAATTCAGTGCAAAATGACACTTTCACTTTTCCTGCTTGGCATTAAAAGGAGACTCTTTCCTATACTTAACCACTGAGAAGGTGTGGTACCTCTCATCTGCTTCCCTTGTCGTTATCTTTAATAACAGTTCTTTCTGCCCCCTCCAAAGCATCTCTGTTCTCCCCCTGAGCTCTCCAAACCCTTGCCCTTCCTATACCCACAGTGCCTCTTCCTCTCCTCTCACCCTGCTCCTCAAAAAAGCCTCTTTCCATCTCCTGCTGCCAAAGGGGGATTGCATCTTCTTTGAGCCGGTCTTGGACCCTAAATTTCTTTTTCTGAGCATGAGTATGGCTCTCTTAAAGCCTTTAAGTCTCGATTTTTGTCGTTAACAGTAGGATTTGTTTTAACTTTGTGAATGGTGCAGTTCTTAATGAGTTTTTTAGGTTTTATGGTCCATCCTTTACTGGCCACTTCTTGTGCAAGTAATAAACTGATAAGCTGGTTGGCTGAATGTTATTCAGCACGTTACTATTAAGTTTGCTTTACTAGTCAAATGTTTAATAATGAAACAAGTGCTTGTCCTCCTAATGTTTTCCACATTACCGTCTTCATTAGCCAATGGTTATTCCATGCTGATGATAAAACACTGTCATTCTAAAATTACAGTTAGTGTAATGAAAAAAACCTTTGTTAGAATAAGCCAACAGTGCCTTTCATTATATTCAGGACCCAGTTACTGCACTGCTGGCAGGTGGAGAACTGGGAGGAGGGTTTTCCGAAGGTGGTGTTGGGTTTGGGGGTTAGGTTTCCTCTTGTTTCTTTAAGCTTAAACAACATCTGCGCTAAGACTCGAGGTGTAGTCAGTAGTCACTGAGTCTCCTACGCCGCTTGATCCGCAATATGCCAATACTTTTTTTGGTCTCCCTCTGCCTCGCAGCGGAGGTGAAGCGTGTCGGCGACACCGTGCTGGGAATGGCTACGCAGTGCGTTCAGATGAAAAACGTGCAGAGGACAACCCCGCAGACGCTGTCTAACCTCTGCCTGAAAATAAACGTCAAATTAGGAGGTGTAAATAATATTCTGCTGCCACAGGGAAGGTAAGGCGCCTTTCAGAGGGGAAGAGGGTATTGGATTATAAAGAGAACGTGCATCGCATTAAGATAATTGGTGCTTTTATCTGTAGCCATAGCGCTGTCATCTCCGTGACTCTTCAGTCAAACTGTCTTTTGGCATCTAATGCCAAAACAGAGAGTGGAGAGGAGTATTTGTTTGGTTGAAATTTATAATGAAATTACTGTTCCTGCAGTCTGACCACTGAATCCTCTACAACTTTTAATTTGAATGAAAAGTTGATAATATTTCCTTTTCCTTGATTTTTTTCAGAAACAAATAGAGAGCATCTTGAACAGTAGTGCCAATATTAGAGTTGAATTGTGGTCAAGGTTCTTCATTTTGTTGGATGTCTTAACTTATAATAACATGTTAAAAAAAAAAAACAAACAACAACAAAAAAAAAAAAAAAAAAACCCAAAAGATGGGAGCAGGAAACTCTTAATTGGTTTCCAGGTCCAGTTTACCTTGGAATTTCTTATTGGTATCGCATTAACAAATTTTAGTTGTGCTTTGAAGTATATTCTATGTAGTTCCTTTGGTGCTGTTGAATTCTGTATCTGACGTGTCACTCGAGTCCTGTGTGAAGTTGAGCGGGAGTGACATAAATATCTTCTAATTTGTAAAGCTGGGGGGACCCTGCTGTTAAAGACTTGGGTTTGTGTATCATCTTTAAAACAAACGTGCTTAAATTGATACTTTTCATCAGTGTTATTGAAAAATCGGCGTCAAGCATTCTAATGGAAGAATGAGCAAAATCCAGCTTGTTTTGCCTTCCCTGTGCAGGATAGAGAAGCCTAGCAGGAAGTTCGAGTTCCTTTAACCAAAACGAACAACTCTGTCTCTGTGTCAGTAAAAAGATGGCCTTTTTACAATCATTGCATTTCAAGTTGTAGAGAGAGCTCAGGGCATAACCTGCTGCATCATTCTTGGGAGCCTGTTTCAAAGAAACCAACGTGCTGTTTGGCACAGATAAGCAAATACTCACTTCCACGTATTTAGGCTGGTCAGAAGGCAGCTGCTGAATAATAATCCAACAGCAAGTACTTAAGGAAGGGAAAAGTAAAGAACACATTATCAGAAGGGATATATATTTTGTGTATCTTGTTAATTCCAGTTTATTGAATTTAATATACTGGGAATGTGCTTGTTGGAGACTCTTATTAAAGCACCTAAAAGTCATTGATACAGAGCACGCCTTTCAAAACAGCATGGTGTGTTTGTTGTTGTTGTTTGTTTTTCAAGTGGTTAAAGATACTGCCATGGAAACAAAACAGAAATACAAACACCATGTAACTAGTTTTATGCTGGATTCATAAACGTAAGGTCTCTGTTAAATGGCATATGCTGACAGCAATAATGTGGCCAGAAAGTTGAATTCTGCTCATTATACCAATAAACTGTGCATTAATGAAATTGGGGTTAAATAAAGGGAAAAAGACAATTGCACAACTACACACAAAACGTAGATGCTCTATAAAAGTGCAGGTTTTGGGTATTTAAAATGTAACTCTTCAATTATTATTTTCTGTCGATTGAGAAGATGGGAATAGAACAGCTTTTTATTTCTATGATGGTATTACAGAATCACAGAATGGTTTGGGTTAGAAGGGACCTTAAAGATCATCCAGTTCCAACCCCCCTGCCATGGGCAGGGACACCTTCCACTAGACCAGGTTGCTCCAAGCCTCATCCAGCCTGGCCTTGAACACTTCCAGGGATGGGGCATCCACAGCTTCTCTGGGCAACCTGTTCCAGTGCCTCACCACCCTCTCCGGGAAGAACTTCTTCCTGATATCTAATCTAAACCTCCCCACTTTCAATTTAAACCCGTTCCCCCTTGTCCTGTCACTACAGGCCCTTGTAACAAGTCCCCCCCAGCTTCCTTGTAGCCCCTTCAGGTACTGGAAGGCTGCAATAAGGTCGCCCCGGAGCCTTCTCTTCTCCAGGCTGAACAAGCCCAACTCTCTCAGCCTTTCCTCACAGCAGAGGTGCTCCAGCCCTCTGAGCCTCTTCGTGGCCTCCTCTGGACTCGCTCCAACTGGTCAATATAAGTTATATTGCTGTAATTACTTTTGAATTCCTTCTTAGAGAAGGTCTGAAAACAGCAGGCTCTATCTAAATAACCTTCCCCCACATACACACAAAAAAATTCTGCTCATCTCCTGTTCACAGTTGTGTTATTAAGGAATAGTGTTGAAGCTTAAAACTTCCCCTGTAGTGTTTTGGTGTTCTGTGCCTGAGGCAGTAGATTAACTTAAATGTTTGTTTAAAACTTTGAAGCCTAGTGGAAAAAAAAAATCTACTTTTAAAATAATACCTATGATAGCCAGAATTTTTATACTTCTTTATCAAAGCTGTTTTTCTGCTCAGAAACAAAATCATGGCATTGGAATATGTGCACAGTCCTTTAATTTTCTCCGATGGTATTTGATGCTGAGGAATCAACTTTTATTCTTTTCTACGGTCTAATTAACACAGGCTGCCATTCTCCACGTCAAAAAGAAGAAAGGGTATTTTTAAAAACTAAATTTCAATGAAAAGTAACAATTAGCTACACTTTAACTATAGGCCAAGGGTTTAGCGTGGGAACCCTATCTGGGACTTCTAATTCCTGTCACCGTTCAAGTGACCAGCTCTGAGAAGGTACACATGGTTGATTAGGTCACTGCAAGAGTATTGGAAGCTATTTAATTGAGTTATAATGTGCTTTATTAAGTGTGAGCCTTGCTGCTTTTACAAATTCACTTTCTTTTTATCAGACCACCAGTATTTCAACAGCCTGTCATATTCCTCGGTGCAGATGTAACTCACCCGCCAGCTGGAGATGGAAAAAAGCCTTCCATTGCTGCAGTGAGTCAACCGTGTGATGATCTTTAACCCTTGCTCTCTCCTGCTGCTCCGCTCTAATGCCTTCTATTACTTTCAATCCTTTTGTGATCCATTTCTTCTGATTGCCTAACGATAGCATTATAAATTATGTTTCTGCAGGAATCTAATGAACCTTTGGAGAGCTTGCTCTGATACTAATGACTTAAATGAATGCATTAGCTTGTAAAATGCACAAGATGCTAATACACGGAGGAGCTTTTCTCTTAGCTGGTATTTATCAGCAACCTGTAATAAGCTGGTGCACATTTAAATCTGCTTTTTCAGCAGTTAAAAATGTTACGAACTTATCCATTGTTCATAAATATCGGTGTGGACGTTTCTGTGGTGCCCCATCTTTTCATTTTTAGGAATTCATCCACAGTGTCCCAGAAAAGCACTTGGTCTTCAGGAGTTCAAACTCCTGTGTTGCAGTCTGAACTGAACCAGTGTTGTCGTGGTATCAGTGCTCCAAGCTGTATTTGCATTTTTAACTGCATGTAGGTGCAAACAGGAAATTCATCTTTTAGATATGAAGTAAGCTTCTGGTTTGGGCAGAGTATGTTACCACAGGTAGACTAAACTCAAAGCTCTTTCCAAGCACATAGTGATTTTGACTATAGTTTAGCTTGGTCAACCCCTTAGTTTTCAAGATACGTTAAAAAGACAAGTGCGTTTTCATGAAATACCTTTAATGAAGTACTTGTAAATTTGATTTGATACTAAGCCTTTTTTCCAACAGGTTGTAGGAAGCATGGATGCTCATCCTAATCGATACTGTGCCACTGTTCGGGTCCAGCAGCACCGCCAAGAAATCATCCAAGATTTGGCTGCCATGGTCAGGGAGTTGCTGATTCAGTTCTATAAATCAACCAGATTTAAACCAACTCGTATAATCTTCTACAGAGATGGAGTTTCTGAGGGACAGTTTCAACAGGTTATATTTTTCTTTTTGAGATTTTGATTATGTAGTTTTCTGGTAGTAATGTGGTTTTATGTAGCTGGAGTTATGAAAAGATGTATACCCTCAACAAGTCTCTCCTCAACAGATTTGTTGGATTATAACCAGGCAGTTCAGGGAGGGTCTTTTTGTATTTCTCATGAGCTTTTTCAAATACTTTTCCCCTTTAAAATACTTTGCCTTTGCAAAATTATAAATGATAAAGTATAGTTTTACCACTGATGTTCAGCATGTGATGTCCAGCCTTCAAGGCCAGGCTGGATGAGGCTTGGAGCAACCTGGTCTAGTGGAAGGTGTCCCTGCCCATGGCAGGGGGGTTGGAACTAGATGATCTTTAAGGTCCCTTCCAACCCTAACCATTCTGTGATCTGTGACCTATTCAAGATACTGTATCCCATGGAACTTGGACAGTAAAGGAAAAGTAAGTCTAAGCTAATTTTCCAATTTTTGTTAACCAGATTTTTAAAATTATGTATTTTCACTGTCAGTTTTCATTCATTCCTGACAAAATTCAACAGATACTTACTGGTATTTATTTTGTTTGCTTACCAGTACCATATTTTATGAAATATTTTGCTATATATTTTAAAGATATTTGCATATGCTTTCCTTTCCACTATTTATATGCAAATTAAAAGATACAGAATTTAGTCAAATCCTCAAAATCCAAGGGGAAGGGAGTAAAGGTCACTTAGTAAACTTGAAGTAATAAAACTAATCTGTGTATGAACTTTTGATATTTTTTCCCATTTATCAGTGCTTTTCACTGAACCTTTTAATTGATAATGAATGCAAATCCTAAATCATTGCTTTTTGGTTTATTACACTTTCCTCTCAGTTTTTATTGATGTCTGTAGTTTCGCACAAGAGTTTGCAAAGCTGGGAAAGAGCACACTGTTGAGCAATTCTGGATTTTTATCCCTTGTACTGGTCTGAAAAATAATTAGGCTGTTGTATATTCAACACCCTAATTAAATGTTCATTTGTATTTGGCATTTAAAAAGATTTTGACATTCAGCTTATTAGTCCAAGCCTTGTGCTGGGAGCCGAACGAGTGTGGCATCAGCTCTCGCCTGGCTCAGGGAAGTGGTGATCTAATTTGTTCTCATTACCTGGAGAAATTAAGGTTTGGGCCTGCATGCTTTGACATCTCACTTCTAAGGGACGATGCAGGAGTGAACATGATAAATAAAGAGTAATCCGTAAGATAGCTGTCTCTCATGTTTGTTTATCACACATCTTTATGTTTATGATTCAGGTTCTCCATCATGAACTGCTGGCTATCAGAGAAGCGTGCATTAAACTCGAAAAGGATTACCAGCCTGGAATTACATTTATAGTTGTGCAGAAGAGGCATCACACCAGACTCTTCTGTACAGACAAAAACGAACGGGTATGTTCTGACAGTGCTTAAATAAACAGCAGATAATTAATAGGTAACTTGGGTGCCTGCTAGTGACTTGCCAGTCACTAAGAGGCTTGTTTGAAAACTGTATAACATAGTGGGTGAGATCTTTCTGCCTGGAAAGGAAAACCTGGGTTTTCTGTCCCATGAAATAAACTGGCAAGAAGCTTTTATGAAACATCAGCAGGATGTGCCTTTCAGCAGGTCTGTCCATCCTAAGGTCATCAAAATTTCAGGTTCCTTTTCAGGTTTTTTTTTAGTGTCTCAAGATCCTCAAGTGTTGACAATGATCTGAGTTAGCGTAGGGTTCATAATGTAGATATTGAATCTGGAACAGTTCCCTCAGGCACTCTTGTCAGTGGGGATCTGCTCAGTATTTCCAAAGCACTTCAGGGCACATCTCACCTGGTTCTAGCACTAAGTTCATTGGTGCACGTGGAAATCCTTGATTCCACCTTTCTGGGTGGAGAGGAGACTCCCCACTTGTAGGATGGAGCTGTTGCTGTCAGTGGAGAGTTCCTGATGGCAAACCCTTGTTTCACAGACAGGGTTTTTCATGTTCGTTTTGCATCTGTCAGGCGTCTCTGTGTGAGGCTGCAGGGCAGTAATTAACAACTTGCAACGCCGGCGTGAGGCGGTGTTGATAACTGGCTGTGACCGCGGTTGTTCCGTTGTTTTGAAGAGTACTTTTAAGTTCTGCTTTGGTGTAAAATGTTTTTGAGGGAAGGAGAAGCCTGTCTTACGAATACAGGTTGTCCTCTTTTGGTTATAAACAAGAAAAATGACAGAGGGATAACCTGTCCTGGAATGGGAAGGTGGAAAGAATTTGATGCATCAGTTGCAGGAAATTTTTCTTACATTAATCAAAAAACTAATCTTTCTAAGTAACTTCAAAGAAGATTTTTGCAGCTCATCTTTTTCTTCTTCTTTTGGAGTAGAGACAGTCCAGATTTTCAGTTGAACAAAATTTCAGTTTTGCTCATTCTTTCTTGACTTTCTGCTTTTTACAGGGTTTCTTTTTTTCTTGTGTTTTTTCCTTACGCTACAGCTGAAAAGAAAAAAAAACTGTGCGTGCCTTAGTATACTTACATTTTCTGTTCACACAGGTTGGAAAAAGCGGAAACATTCCAGCTGGTACCACAGTGGACACAAAAATCACCCATCCATCCGAGTTTGACTTTTACCTGTGTAGTCACGCTGGTATTCAGGTACAGCATTGTGTGGGGATGGTAACTTCAAGGGTGACAGTGGCTGTTGGTATTTCTTGTGCTCTTCACACAGAGGTGCCTCTTGCATTAAATTCTCTTGAAACGTGTGTCCAGTTTCCTGGAAACACCTAATAACACTTAGATAGCACCATTGTAGCTTCACGTTTTTCTGTGATTTCTTCTTCCCCGTCAAAGTGCTAATCAATAACAGTACTGGAAGTCAGCATTCGATACTGTCCAAAAAAGTGTATTCAGTAGGGGCACAAGGTGGATCACTGTTGGCTATGGATGGCTTGTCTAAAGCTGCACCAGGAGGCCTGCAACGGGTGGAAGCAGGGACAGGCAGCCTGGGAGGATAACAGGGAAGTGGTCCGAGAAGTCAGGATCAGGTTAGGGAAGCCGAAGCCCTGACAGAACTGAACCTGGCCAGGGACATGAAGGCCAACAAGAAGGGCTTCTATAGGTACACAGGGGATAAAAGAAAGTCAGGGAAAATGGAGGCCCTCTGCGGAAGGAAACGGGAGAGCTGGCTTCCCAGGATATGGAAAAGGCCGAGGTGCTCAATGATTGGTTTTTTGGGTTTCGTTGCCTCGGTCTTCGCTGGCAAGGACTCTAGCCATAGCCCCCGTGTGACGGGAGGCAAGGGCAGGGAATGAAAAGCTGTCCGTGGTTAGAGAGGACCAAATTGGAGACCACTTAAGGAACCTGAAGGTGCACAAGTCTGTGGGACCTGATGAAATATATCCGTGAGTTCTGAGGGAACTGGCGAATGAGGGGATGAGGTGGCTGAATTTCTATCCATGATATTTGAGAAGTCGTGGCAGTCTGGTGAAGTGCCTGCTGACTGGAAAAGGGGAAACATAACCCCCATCTTTAAAAAGGGGAAAAAGGAAGATTTGGGGAATCTCAGGCCAGTCAGTCTCACCTCTGTGCCTGGCAGCATAATGGAGCAGATGTTCCTGGAAACCA